CAAATAAGTGAGCAAATAAATAAAAATAAAAGCAAATTAAGGGGCCTGCGCGTGGCGTAGCAGGTAAAGCCGCAGCCTGCAGTGCTAGCATCCATATGGGTGCTGGTTCTAGTCCCGGCTGCTCCACTTCTGATCCAGCTCTCTGCTATGACCTGGGAAAGCAGAAGAAGATGGCCCAAGTCCTTGAGCCCCTTCACCTGCGTGGGAGAACAGGAAGAGGCTCCTGGCTCCTGGCTTCGGATTGGCGCAGCTCCCACTGTTGAGGCCAATTGGAGAGTGAACCAGCAGATGGAAGACCTTTCGCTCTCTCTCTGCCTTTCCTTCTCTCTGTGTAACTGACTTTCAAATAAATAAATAAATCTTTAAAAATCAAAAAGCAAATTAAGCCAGATGAAATGTAATCATTACTAAAAATATTAGTTTTCAACTTGAGTTTCAACAAGTCAATTTGTTGTCTCATGTAAGTTCAAGAAAATAAGGATGGTTATCTAATGGTAATTTGCAAGACCGGGGAGTTTCAGTAGACCTTAGATTTATGTGAGCCAGAACAGTACTGTGATGTACTTTCCTCAACGAATGTGAACTTTGTTGGCATTAATGAATAATATAGAGTTTAGAGCTTGTTTCATTAAGACTGTGAACATTTCAAATCATATGCCTTGACATGAATGCCTGAGTATGCACTCTGGCTCTACCAGTAATTAACTTTGTGAGTGGCTTAGGCTAATGATTTGGCTCTCCAATCCTCAGTCTCCTCACTTTGAAAATGAGAAAGTATTAGACCTGATTTCGTGGACTATTAAAAGGATAAATAGCTGTCACCTGATAAATGAGATAGTGCAGTAGGAAGGATAATGGTGTATAGAAAGCATGCCTGCTATATGCCAACTTCTTAATACTATCCTTAACCCAGTTTTACACATTGGGAAACTGAGGCTCAAAACCCACAGATAGTAAGTGTGAGCTGGGTATAAACTCAGGGGAAGGGGTGTGGCACAGTGGTTGTGTTCCTGTTGGGATGCCTGCATCCCATAATGGAATGCTTGTTCTTTGTCATGGGTACTCCACTTCCAACCTAGTTTCCTGCTAACGCACAACTTGGGAAGCTGCAGGTGATAGCTGAAGTGCTTGGGTCCCTGCCACCGACATGGTATCCTGGCGTCAGCCTGGCCTGGTCCTGGCTGTTGTGGATGTTTGAGAAGGGAATCGACTGATGGAAGGAAGATCTTTTTTTGTCTCTCTGCCCTTCAAATACAATGGAAAAAAAAAAATCCCTCAAGCTTGTCGTTCTCCAGAGCTGGTGGATTTACACATTGTGCTTTAGCCTTTCTCAGAAGTGGTCAATGAATGACTCAGTGTCTGGAGTTCTGCCAACATTTCCCCAACAAGTACCCAGAGGATTGGGTCAGCTCAGTGCTTCTCTTGATGTCTGAATGTATTGAAGTGCCGGCTGCGGTTTTAAACCCAGCTGTGAAGATCTGGGCATAGAGAATAGCAAGAAGGGGTGGAGCAAGAATGGATTAAAGAAAACTAACAAACAACGCGTGTTCTCAGTTGCATGTGGAAGCTAAAAGAGTTGGCCTCAGAGAAGCAGAGAGCAGAATGGTGGTTACCAGTGCCTGGGGAGAGAGGGGCTGGAGAGAGAGGCTGCTTCAGGGAGACACACGGTACAGTCCCTTAGGGGACTATCTTCTGATGTCGTTTAGCAGAGTTGGATAGCAGTGGCTGATGTTAACTGTATATGCTTTCAATACAGTGAAATGACACTTGGTTGAGGAGATGAAAGTGCTCCTTGCCCTGATCTGAGGGTTGTATAATGTTTACCTGCATTGCAATATCATACCATAGCCAATAGATATGTACTATAATTATGTATCAATTAAAAATGAAAATGGAAGCTTCAACAGTTTAAAAAATATTAAAAATCCTGGGGAAACTTTACCTGGATGACAGACATCTCAGCACAGTTATAGAACAGTAGCTGTAAAAGGTCATTTTATAAAATCTCTTCTGTCACCTGGAAGCCCCTCTGTTTTCAGGGATTCAGGTTCCTGATTTACAGGTTTTATTTATTTCCCCTCAGAGTGTGTGGCTTTCCACACAGAGGATGCATCTCAGTTCCTTAAATGGCACAGAAGTACTTCTGTCGTCTGGCGTCTTTACCCTACCTTCATCTGTGTGCTTGAGCCACACTAAAACCCCCCTGTAGAGTTTCAGTGCTCCCCTCTTCCAGTGTTGCTGTTCATGCTTACCCTTCTCTGTACATGGCATCCTGCACACAGCTTTATGACAACACTTAACAATTTGCGATTAATCATTGAGGTTATATGATGACATTTTACCATACTTGTTGATGGAGACAGGGAGTTTTAACTTGGTTTAAGTGTATATTCTTTTTTATATGTGTAGCTTATCTGGCAGATTACACAATAACTGGCAAATTACTGGTAATAGTGTTTGTCTTTGAGAGAAGTTCCTGAGTGTTACCTCAGTATAATCTATTTTGTACTTTAAAAATTCTGAACCGTATGCATCTTATGATTTATTTAAAAGAAAATTTTATATAAAAAGGCTAGTTGATGTGATCAGCTTTATTGAGTTTGTGCACTAGTTGGGAATATATTAACAGCCCTAAATAGAGAAGATGTGTCAGGTGCAAATGTTTATTTTGTTATAAATTTTGCCAGGTTAAACAGACAACCCTATAATACAATAATAATATAAACATTTTGGCGTGAGCCCTTCCCCAAAGGTGACTAACGTTAACTATAGCTAGTACCTATTGATATGTACTAGGCACTATTCTATACACTTTAAAAAATTAATTAGAGAGTTGGAGAGCGCTCTCATCTGCTGGTTTACTCCAGAAATGCCCACATTTATGGGGGCTGAAGTTGTGAGCCAGGAAATCACCCAGGTCTCCCATGTGGGTGACCGGAACCCAACTACCTGAGCCATCACTGCTGCCTCCCAGGGTCTGCATGAGCAGAAAGCAGAAATTAGGAATACCAGTGGGGAATTCTACCCAGGCGCTCTGCTACAGGACATGGACATCCTGATTGGCTTCTTAACAGGCCAGATGCCCACCTCTCCACATATTTTGAGGATCTTAGTTCTTGTTATCACAGTATCTTTGTGGCGGGTGCTATTACTGTTGTCATTTTACGTACTGAGGAATTGGGCTCAAGCAGGACAGTTTAGCCATGGGAGAACACAGAGGAGAATGTGGCAGTGGAGGGATTCCAGCTTTGGCTGCTTGGCTCCAGACTGGCTCTTAACCACTGTTGTGCCTCTTAAACAGAAATTAGAATTGGATTCTTGGGGGCTGGCGCCGTGGCTCATTTGGTTAATCCCCTGCTTGCGGCACCGGATGTCCCATATGGGTGCTGGGTTCTAGTCCCGGTTGCTCCTCTTCCAGTCCAGCTCTCTGCTATGGCCCGGGAAGGCAGTGGAGGATGGCCCAAGTGCTTGGGCCCCTGCACCCGCATGGGAGACCAGGAGGAAGCATCTGGCTCCTGGTTTCAGATTGGCGCTGTGCTGGCCGCAGTGGCCATTTGGGGAGTGAACCAACAGAATGAAGACCTTTCTGTCTGTCTCTTTCTCACTGTCTATAACTCTACCTGTCAAAAAAAAAATTGGATTTTTACCTAATTCCTATAATGTTATCATAATTTGAGTATTTAACAATTCTTATTGTGTCACTTTCAGCAATAGTGTTGTTGGTGTTTTTATTAGATGCATTTTAACACTTAATAATAACTTCACATCTTAAAACACAGTTCAAGGAAATATAAGCATTGTTCCTTTAAGATATGGTACTGTTGAAAAGGGATTTACCAGGACCATTTGTATAGAAGGGTCAATGATTTTACACTCCCAGGCCTGAGGTGAGAGGGAGATATTTAAAGCTATGTGTTCCAGGCTCTGATTGGCTCAGAAGGGTTCTACCAAATTAGGAATTTACCAGTGTAAATGCAGAGGCCTGTATCAGGTTAGGGGAATAAGCCCTGTGTGGTAGAAAGGTGAAATCAAGACTTGAAAGCCTTTTCCAAGCTCAAGACTCTAGACATTCCCTGTAAGTTGCATAAGAGTACTTTAGAAAACTTTATAAATAACTTTTTTTCTTGGAAAGATAGAACTTTTTGTCATAGTTCTGTTTAGCTTAAAATTCATGAGCACAGAAATGTACTAATATGCAATGCATCCAGATTACTTAGAATTGTATGTGTGTTTAAGTACGTATTAGCTGATACCATTTTTGAAAAGTAAGAAACCCATAAAACTAAATCATTTTCCATTATAGCACTGTCAGTTTATAGATGTGGAAGTCAAGACCTCCAGAGATTATTTGCTTAAAGTTAAATAGGTCTTCAGTGGCAAGGCTGGGTTTGGGATTTAGGTCTTTAGATAAGCACAGAATGGAACTACCCTGTTTACTTGGCTACAGCTACTTCAACTTTGATGGTTTATTCAAGCTTAACTTTGTATCCAAATGGCATAACCTGCTTGGGCAGAGCATCTTTGAGTAGAAGCAGGATTGGTATCTATTCTGAGTTACTGAAAATAATGCTTCAACAGAGATATCATATAATTTATATAAGACTTCCCTTTGGTAAACAGCTCATGGCACTTAGAATTCCTCAGAATTAAAAAAAACAGTCAAGAAAATTGTTAAGCACCTGTGACTAAAATTTTTGCATTCTGAAATATCATTTGAAGATATTCTTTTGGCAAGAGGATTTATAAATACCTTCCAAGTCCACTTATGAATAAATTAATCTAGTTAATTGATGCTGTAACAAAGTGACTATAGGGCCAGCTCCTACAAGATGAGCTTAGTAGCTCCCAAGTTGTAAATGAAAATATTATTTATGGTATTTAATATTACCCTAGGAAGTAACTGCGTAGTAGGATCATATCCATTGTTAATTGGGGGAAAGCCTGGTGTTTTCCAGTCCCAAAGTAAGAATAATTTCTAATGTGTTTTTTCCTTTTTTCAGACTTTTGATAAAATTCTTATTGCTAATCGAGGAGAAATTGCATGTAGGGTGAGTAGGATTTTAATCTTACTTTGCATTTTACTCTATGAAATGTATTATTAAAGTCCCCTAATGTGAATCAGTGTCAGTAGGTAACATTAATGTGTTTTGAATAGGTTATTAAAACTTGCAAGAAGATGGGCATTAAGACTGTTGCCATCCACAGTGATGCAGATGCAAGTTCTGTAAGTATATTTTTGCTGTGTATGGATCAGTTCTTAATTTTGGGTCACTTGGGGAAAAAAGCAAAAGATACATTTCTTTTTCTTGGCCTGTAAAATGTATATTCAATTATTAAAACTGTCTAATTGTTCACTGTTGTAGTGAGCAAAATGGAAATACCACAATGTCTTCTGTGTGTCTTAACAGTTTTTCTTAAGAAGCTTTAGAAACCGAGAGTAGACTAAATACTGCCAGGCTGATTGCTGGTCAGCAAGTAGATTTAAGCAAAGCATGAGAAAATTGAACCCAAAGATTAATGAAATGTTTACACAATGCTCTCTTATGCAAGCCCTTTCCCCCACAGCATAACTTCAGTATCACTAAGGGAATGCTATAATTGTTTAACCTTTCCTAAATGCATCAATGTGTTCAGCTGAAAGTTTGATAAATGAGAGATAGGCTAATGCTAATTGGACATGAACAAAAGAAGGGAAAGCATAAAGCAATGAATGATATATAATTTTATTAGGCATTTTTAACACAGCAGGCATTTTTAGCAGTAATGAACTATGAATGAGTAGAAAAAAATCCCATGGGAAAAGAATGTAAGTTATTGGAACTTTATAGAATGAGAAATAAGTAGTCGTACTTTAATGCAAGTTACTATTTTCCATTCTTTCACACTGTTTTTGATAATGGGACCCTTTGGGAAAATCAACTTTTATAGTAATTTAATATGGAGACTTTCAAGTTTTGCAATTTTAAAAAATTTTGTTTTTTTTTTCTAGAAGTGTGTTACTCATTTTGTCTTACTGTGAGGCTCTCCCCTTTAAAAAACAAGTGGAAACAGTTACAAACAATAATTTCTTGAAAATAAAGATTAATTATCTTCCTTAGTTTATTTGGTGGGTTTATTTAAAATATTCAACTTTTAATGAAAAGCAATTAAATCAAGCAATTAAACTTGTATGTATACTGTCTTTAAAGATTTGATTGTCACTTTCTTGCTAAATTTGGTTTAACTATGATAGTTTTGATAGTAATTAGTATTCCTTACAGGATGTTCTTGAGATAATGAGAAAACTGGCACTTTCCTGTTTATGTACTGGTTAACTCTAAGGTGTTTGTCCATTACAAACTCCTCTTGAGTACATTCCTAGGAGGGAATTGCTCAGTCTTGGGGTAGATGATGTTTGACAACCATTTTCTATCTTGAGAGTAAACATATTTTAGACTCTGCTGGCCACTGTAGTCTCTGTTGCATATTTTTTTTCCAATTCTTTAAAAATGTAAAATCATTTTTTTAAAAAAGATGTCTCCACCTAGCTGCTTAAAACAATTTAATCATTTATTTGAAAGACTGAGATGGGGAGGGAGAGAGAAAAGGAAGTCTGTTGTTTCACCCCTCCCCCCAAATGCCCGTAATAGTTGAGGCTGGGCCAGGTCAAAGTCAGGAATTTAGAACTCACTTTAGGTCTCCCACTTCAGTGCCAGGGGCCCAAGTACTTGAGCCATCACCTGTTCCCAGGGTGTCCATTAGCAGGAAGCTGGATCAGAAGTGGAGTCGCGACTTGAACCGAGGCACTTTCACATGGGACGTGGGCATCCCTGGTGACAACCTAGCTGCAGCACTAAACACCTGTCCCTAAAACTATTGTTGAGGGCTGTACAAAAACAGCCCTTGGAGGCTGTGGTGTTGGCATGCTGGATTAAGCAGCTGCCTGGGGATGCAGGCATTCTGTATTAGAGATTTATTTATTTATTTGAAAGGAAGAGTTACAGAGAGGCAGAGGCAAAGAGGGAGAGAAAGTCTTCCATCTGCTGGTTCACTCCTCAAATGCCCGCAACGGCCATAGTTGGGCTGATAGGAAGCTAAGCCATAGCACCAGCCCCTTCTTTGTAACAGTTTTTGTTTTGGGGCCGGTGCTGTGGTATAGTGGGTAAAGCCACCTCCTGCAGTGCTGGCATCCCATATGGGCACTGGTTCCAATCCCAGCTGCTCCACTTCTGATCAAGCTCCCACTCAAGGCCTGGGAAAGCAGAAGATGGCCCAAGTCCTTGGGCCCCTGCACTCAAGTCGGAGACTCAAGAGAAGCTCCTGCGGCCGGCGCCGCGGCTCACTAGGCTAGTCCTCCGCCTAGCGGCGCTGGCACACCGGGTTCTAGTCCCGGTTGGGGCGCCGGATTCTGTCCCGGTTGCCCCTCTTCCAGGCCAGCTCTCTGCTGTGGCCAGGGAGTGCAGTGGAGGATGGCCCAGGTGCTTGGGCCCTGCACCCCATGGGAGACCAGGAAAAGCACCTGGCTCCTGGCTCCTGCCATCGGATCAGCGCGGTGCGCCGGCCGCGGCGGCCATTGGAGGCTGAACCAATGGCAAAGGACGACCTTTCTCTCTGTCTCTCTCTCTCACTGTCACTCTGCCTGTCAAAAAGAAATAAAAAAATAGAGAGAGAAGCTCCTGGCTCCTGGCTTTGGATTGGCCCAACTCAGCTGTTGTGGCCATTTGGGGAGTGAACCATTGGATGGAAGACTTCTCTTTCTCTCTCTGCCTCTGCCTCTCTGTAGCTCTGCATTTCTAATAAATAAATCTTAAAAAAGTTTTTGTTTTAAAGTCAATTTTGCCTGATACAGGTATCAGGCAGGGGCAGATTTGTTTCCTAACTAAGATAATAAAGATAATGTTTTCATCAGGGACAAGGCTGGGCAGGTTTTATGCAGCCCTTTATTACACAATGCTGGTCCCTGCTCCACTTCCGATCCACTTCCGATTAGCTCCCTGCTAATACTCCTGGAAAAATAGAGGAAGAGATGGCTCAAGTCCTTGGACGCCTGCCACCCACGAGAGAGATTCTGATGGAGTTCCAGGCTCCTGACTTCTTCCTGGCCCAGCCCTGGCTGTTGTGGCCACTTGGAGAGTGAACCAAGATGGGAGATCTCTTTCTCTATCTGTCCCTTTGTCTCTGTCACTCTGCCTTTCAAATAGATAAAACAAATCTTAAATAACAAAAAACAAAAACAGTTTTGTATCACATTTGACTGGTTTGGTATTGCAGTGTTATGCTAACTCTTGAAACAAATAAATGCACTATTAACTCTATGAGAAACTGCCAGGTGGTTGTTCCTTATTTCAGTCCCGTCAGTAGCGTCTGGGAGTTGAGGTTGCTTTGTGTCCTTGCCAACCCTTGGTGTTATCAGTCCTTTAGATGTCTGCTGTTCCAGTGGCTTTGAACTGTTATCTCATTGCACTTTTAATTTCATTTCCCTGATGAATATTGATGTTGAGTACCTTTTCATGTATTGGCACTCATTTGTATTATTTTCTGAAGTGTTTATTCAGCTATAATTGAAAAATTTAGAGGAGTAATGCAGTGAATACTAGTATGTCCTTCATCTACATTGGCCCCCAATTCTAAATATTTTATCACTTTGCTTTATATCTGTATCCTTATAGATAATTGTGTGTGTTTTTTTCTTTTTTTTGCTGAAGAATTTGAAAGTAGGTTACAGATGTAGCATTTTTTTTAAAGATTTATTTATTTATTTGAAAGTCAGAGTTACACATAAAGAGAAGGAGAGGCAGAGAGAGAGAGAGGTCTTCCATACGCTGGTTCACTCCCCAAATGGCCACATGGCCGGAGCTGGGCCCATCTGAAGCCAAGAGCCAGGAGCTTCTTCCGGGTCTTCGTGTGGGTGCAGGGGCCCAAGAACTTGGGTCATATTCTACTGCCTTCCCAGGCCATAGCAGACAGCTGGATAGGAAGTGGAGCAGCCAGGATTTGAACTGGTGCCCATATGGGATGTTGGCACTGTGGCTTTACCCGCTAAGCCACAGCACTGGCCCCGTAGCATTTTTTTTTTTTTATTGTAACTTTTTACCCCTAAGTATTTTAACATCTACCTCTGAGGGATAAGGATGTTTTCCTACCTAACTATAATAATTATCAAACTAAAGAAAATTACAAGTTATCCTGTCATAGTTTTTTTTCTTTAAAAATTATTTATATGAAAGAGTGATAGAGAAGGAGAAATCTTTTATCTGCTGGTTCACTCCCTAAATGGCCATAGCAGCTGGGGCTAGACAGGCTGAAGCCAGGAGCCAGGAACAACAACCAGGTCTCCTATTAGGGTGGCAGGGACCCAACTACTTGGCCCATCTCTTTCCCTGCTTCCCCAGACACATTAGCAGGAAGCTGGCTGGGGAGCAGAGGAGCTGGGACTCAAACTGCAGTCTGATATGGGATGGATGCCAGCATTTTAAGTGGCTTAACCCACTGTGTCACAATGCTGGTCCCTGTAGTATCTTCTAGTATACATATCACATTGAATTGGCTCCAGATGTCTGTATTATAATATTTTCTTTGGTCCACAGTACAAAGTGCATGAATTACTTTTGATAAGTATTCCCTTTTAGTTTTTTAATCTAAAACAGTGTTCCTACCTTTCCCCTTTTTTGCTTTCATCATGTTGATGTTTTGAGGGATCCAAGCCAATTGGATGATATTCTGGATTTCTCTGATTATTTCCTCATGAACAGATTCTGGTTAAATGTTTTTGACAAGACTTCTCTGTAAGTGATGCTATTTCTTATTGTATCATACCAAGAGGTTCATAATGTTGGCTGTTCTGTTTGTTAGGTTTGATCATTTGGTTTTTACCAGGCCTTTCCATAATGGTACTTATTAAGTATTTTGTTGGGTGAATCTTTGAATTTATGTAAATATTTTGTCTCTCACTAACCTCTTATTGAATGTATTTGTACTGACAAAGATTGCTTGACTCAGTTGTTTGGTTGCATTTTTCTTTGCTGTCTATTGTAAAATCTGTTGGTATTTTCCTTTTGGAGTCTGCCTGTTTTATATTGTCTTTTTTTTTTTTTTTTTTTTCTTATTTGACAGGCAGAGTGGACAGTGAGAGAGAGAGACAGAGAGAGAAAGGTCTTCCTTTGCCGCTGGTTCACCCTCCAATGGCCGCCGCTGCAGCCGGCGCACCGCGCTGATCCTGGCAGGAGCCAGGAGCCAGGTGCTTTT